GAAGAAGTACAGCCAGAATGCTCCATGGAAGCCAGGATGGCCAGACTTTATTCTCTCATACTTTGGATGTATTATCTGGAGGGACCAGTTTTTGGAAAAAGGATATCATGTTTGGTAAAGTGGAGGGCTAGAGGAAAAGAAGAAGACTCCCAAAGAGATAGATTGGCATAGTGGCAGCAGCAATGGGCTCAAATGTGGTAATGATGGTGAGGTTGGTGCAGGACTGCATAGTGTTTCGTTTTGTTGTGCATAGGGTTGCTATGAGTTGGTACCGACTTAATGGCACCTAACAACACCACCAGTAGGACTTTACATTTATTTTCATTTAATTTAATCTTAGGGGTTTTATCCTACCTGGATTTTGTTTCTTGCATCTTGCAAATTAGCTTTGTGAACATCTCTGCATTTGCAAAGCGTGGTTTCTCTGCTTTTGTCTAAGTATTGTTTGAACCTCTGTCCAGAAGGCCAAAGTCTTTTCCAGGTTGACTATGATTACTTGATCTGCATGTGATTTTTGTGATTAGCTGTGAATCCTGCAACTAGTCCACATTTTTTGCCATTATGTATAAGGATATATAAAACACTGTTGAAAGCAGCATATCTATTGTAGTTCAGTTATTAACCCTATGTAACAAACTTGTCCAAAATGAAATGAAGTAATTTTGGTATAAGTTGCCCCTATTAAAGCTTATAATAATGGCCAGATTTTCTTTTTCTAATATTTCTAATACTTATATTGAATCAATATTGTATTGCATAAAATGTTCATGATAGGGTTGATTTTTTTTTTTTTACTTTATAATATTTTGATGGAAAAACAAAAACAAAACTTTAAACAGAAACAATGATATAACAGTATAAAAGGTAGTTCCCTAGAAGTTGGGGCTAAAGTTATCCCTGAGAATATTAACCTGGAGTGTTGGTTTTCTGCATAACCACCCCATCTCTCCCTACAACTGCTTTTTACTCCTGTAAGGAACAGAGGTCAAAGGATGGAATGACATAATAGTCCCATCTACCCCATTTTACTTGCTTTTTCAGGTCACTTTTATTTGACATTTGGGCTTTTGACATTTGTTTGATTTTTTAAAATTTATCAGTAGAGTGTAGTTACCTTTGCTTTTTACCCTTTATAAGGCTTTCTTATAACGTGTGTTATAAATATATAATTACACGCTTAACTTTTTTGTTCCTTTTATAAATTTGGGGCTCTGTAGGCTTAAATGTAGTGAAGATGAAGACAGTTGTCAGTTAAGAGAGTGAGAAAGGGGGCCTTTTAGAAGGGAGAGAACAGTATGTTGAGTGAAATAAGACTGTGTCAGGGCAAATAGTGTGTTATCTACCTTACAGGAAATGTCTAGAACTGGCAAATGCATAGAAACAGAAGTTGGCTAATGTTTCCCAGGGCCTGGAGGAAAGGGAGAATGGAGAGCCACTGCTTCAGTGGTACTGAGTTTCTGGCTGGGGAATTTTATTTTTTTTAAACTAGGAGAATTATTATAGAGCTGCTACAGGCAATTAATGACTAAGTATATTAAGTTATTCTTGAGATCTATATTTCTGGTATTTGTCAGCTTTCTAAATAGATATCTAGATATGTGGAAATTGAAAAAATTAAAAAAGGTGAGAGAGGAGAGCGTGAATAGGAGATCAGGTGAGAGAAAGTTCATGTTTGGAACCCCAGAGACATTTCCTTAAATGAGTAGGTATTCCACTTTTTCTATAGTTTAGCTTTTGAGAGAGATGTGGACATCAGAGTAGACAGTACGGAAAAGTTAGGATAACAGATTAAGGAGCAAGAGCAGCAGAAAGGAAAGATTGGAGGAATGGGAGAGGTAGGGGAGGGAGCCTGTGTTCTCTGGGCCTTTGCCTCAGTGTCTCCCATTGCTGACAATGCCTTATTTTACCCATTGTCTACAGAAGACATGGGGACAGACCTGGCCATAGGGTCTGGGTTTCAATCTAGGTGTGCCGCCTACTAGCTGTGAATACTGTGTCTTAGGTAATTTCTGAGTTTGTATCTTGGCAACATCGTTACGATTTTTATGAAAAGTGTTTTGCAGACTCTGACACACTATGGGAGTCTCAGTATGTAGAAGAGAGTAGGGCTTCTCAGTATAGCCCTTTATCCAGACCTCCTTTCTCTTAAGGGCCAGTTCAGCTCTATGCTATAATGTTACTATGAATTGGAATTGAGGTGATAGCATTGGGTTTGGTTTTTGGCTTCTAGGCCTTTCCAGATGGCAGCCAGTGAAATTTCTGTGTGTGTATTAGTGGGAGAAGGTTCAAAGGCTCTTCACTTCTCTCTCAGCTGTTGTATTTCAACAGCTTTCCAGAGCTGATATTTCTCTTAATACTTTTGCTGTGTAGCAGTTGGCATTTCAGGGTTTAGGAGTCCTTGGTGATGCAGCGGCTAAGTGCTTGGTTGCTAACTATAAGGTCGGTGGTTTGAACCTACAGGCGCTTTGTGGAAAAAAGCTGTGGCAGTCTGCTTCTGTAAAGATTAAGGCCTTTGAAATTCCATGGGGTCAGTCTACTCTGACCAATAGTGTTGTCGTCAGTGTTTTCTTTCTCTTTCCTTTTTTTTTTTAATGTGCATTTCAGAGTTTAGGTTTGAATCTAGATGACAGGAGAATGGTTTTCTCTCTAATGAAGTAATTTTGGAGTAGTTGGCACTTTATAGTAATTGTATCTTCAAATGCACATTCCTGTATGTACAGTTTATACAAATTTCCAGTGAAATGCTATAATTCTGACATTTTACTGGAACAAGGATTGACAAGCTATGACCCATAGGTCAAATTGGACCAACTACCTGTTTCTGTAAATAAAGTTTTATTGGAGCACAGCCCTGCCCATCTATTTGCATATTATCTTTGGCTGCCTTTGTACTCGAACAGCAGAATAGTTATGACGGAATCCATATGGCCCCCAAAGCCTAAGACATTTACTATCTGGCCCTTCATAGAAAAAGTTGACTGACATCTGCTCCAGTTGAGAGTGAGCCAGGCAATTCTGATTGAGTCCATACTTTACCAGGTATCAGGTTGTGTGAATTTCCTATGCTTACCTCTGATGATGCTTTTCTCAGGAAATTCTTAGAATTTCCTTTGTGTGGCTTAACTTCACAAGTGAGAAACACAGCTGTAGATGGCTTAAATAAGAAAAGCAAACACCATTAAAATCTCCAAGTAATTAGATTTGGTTGGAATACATAGTGATGTTTTGGTTACTGTGCTACTTGAGTTTGTTTGTTTGTTTTCCTCATTTGTTTTTTCTCTCCTTTTCCCACCCTAACCCCTGCCCCTACCAACCATTTAAATAGGGCCGAATTCCTCAACAACTTCTGTAGCAAATAAAACCAGTTGTGAAGGAGAACTCCACCTTGGAGACAGAGTGTTGGTGGTAGGCCAGAGAATTGGTACCATTAAGTTCTTTGGGACAACAAACTTTGCTCCAGGTAACTTACTTGTATATTCTTTGTTTAATTTGACTTCTTTAGATTATAAAGCATTTGCAATTTTACATGTAAATAAAAATTTAATTGTAGAGTATTCTTGATTATGGCACAGAAAAATGTAAAAAAAAACTCTTTTTACTCAGGTTGACTGTTGTCAGAAAATATAAATAAATAAATAAATATATATATATATATATTTATGAGTATGTATGTATGTATTCCAATGTTAAAAGTAGTTGCTCCACTCTGATTTCACTCTCACTGATTGCAGAATATGCTAAACAACAGGGTAAACATTTTAGGGTTAGGTTTTTGCTAAAGATGTTCTCTAAAATGAGTGGATAATGAGTCAATTGCACATCTTTCTCAGAAGGGTTTTGGGAGAATACCACACATAATAGTTCAAAGGGAAATAAAAAAGTTTTATACCTGGGACCTTAAAAAAATACATGTTTGTGTATTTCCACATTCATTCCAATTTTGATTTAATATGTATTTTCAAGATTACGTTTCTTTTCCATATTTAGCAATTGTGATTTCAAATAGAAGCCAGCTGAATGAAGCCATGTTCTATAGGCTTTATAAAGCAATATGCTATTTTGACACATGGTGGCATTGCAGCATTTTAGGAAAATAAGATCTAAAAAAGTAATTTAAAAAAAAAAAAAGTTTGTAAAATTCTGTCAAGAACTGTGAAGAATCTGAAAGTTTACCCTATGTGCAAGTGAACAAATTAGCCTGCCACAGTTCATGAATGTTGGCAAAACATATGGGACTACTGGTTCAGAGACAAAGGCCTTTTCTGACTGACAGCAAGGACAGTAGCCAGAGCACGGGCATTGTCTTGAGTTGGTTCCTTGATCCATCCTCAGTTTCCACAGGATGATACCAAGAGGGCTAGGTAGACACCTGCACACATTGTATTCATTACAGGAGTGGAATCATGAGCGTAAGGAATCTGAACATTTACACTAAACATGTCTGTCTTTCATTCTGGAGAGAGACTCTTTCTCTGTCCTCCAAAGCTGTCCCCTATACAAACATCCATGACAAGATAGCTTGGGACAAAAGCATTCAATGCCCCTACCCACCAGACTTGTAATAACACAAGTTTGTGTGCCATGGAAGATTGTTTCTCAATACATTCTTGTTTCTTTACTACTACTTTTAATTGCAGTTCTAATTGTTTTGAAATAAAGTGTATGTTTTATGATTCATGTTTCTCCAGGTCTAAAGGTAGTAACTGAGATGATCCTAAAATTCTTAGTAATAATTCTTAAACAAAAACTTAGATTCTCAAAGTTAGGTTAATCTTCTCAATGACCATATGTTTTTATAGTTAAGTTTTTTCCTCTTAAAGCTAGAATGGTTTGATTTTTAGGGTATGATTTATCTTCTTAGGTTGATTTTTTAATTTTTAAATTCTTAATATGAAACATTTAGATATTCAGGTAATAATGAGCAAATATAAAAACAGTTGGAAGTTTGCTGTTGTTAAAGTCATTTCTGTCCATAAGAAAGTAACATATTTCTGTGGCATCAACATTTAGATCAAACAATTTTACTGAACAGTGGTAGTATCTATGCATTTAATAGATTACAGTAATTTTAGATGTAAGAAGAGGTCATGTGTAGCCTCTTTAGCATTTTTATCAGTATCGTTTCTGAAAGAAAACAAACATTTAAATGGGAAGATATTCATACCACACCACTGCCATATTAGCACTTGTCAATGCAGGATAAGCGCTGGCCCTCTAGGTCAGTTTGAGCTGTTGGCGATTCAGACTCACCAGCCACTCCTCGGAAACCCTATACTGGGTTGCTGTGAGTTGGAACCAACTCAACAGCACTTAACAACAACACATTTTCAAGAGATGAGTTATTGAAGAATACCAAAAAGCAGCTATATGGTTAATTTAAGTGGAAACATACAAGAGTTACATAGGAAAACATCAAAAGAAGAAGAAAATAAAACTGAAAAAATTTTAACGATGATACTCAGAGAAATAGCAGTGGCAACCAAACTGATGTGGTTTATAGAATTCAGAAATGTAAAGACCTGTTTTCAGTGAATTAGAGTGATCAGGCAATAGGTTTGTAGACAGTGCTCTATCCATGTAGTTGTTAAGTGCCATCGAGTTGGTTCTGACCCATAGCGACCCTGTATAGGGTTTCCGAGAAGCAGCTGGTGAGCTTGAACTGCTAACGTTGCAGTACAAACTTTGAACTGCATTGCAGTCTGGCGCATTAACCCACAGCGCTACACCAGGACTCCATATAGGGTTTCCAAAGAGGGACTGGTCTGTCGAGTGGGTTTTGACTCATAATGACCCTATATAGGGTTTCCAAAGAGGGACTGGTGAATTTGAACCACTGAATTTGCAGTTCAAACAGACTTTGCACTATGTATGTATAAGAGGTCCTTCATTAGTTGTTTTAACATTGACCCCAATACCTGGAAACGGGGTCAGGTGTCATCTTTTTTAACAGAAGAGGGACAAAATTAAGAGCAGCTTCTAACCTGGTGTTTTAGAGGTTATATAATAGACTCTTGGAACTAGTAATATGAAAGAAATCAGTATTTTTGTAATCTGCAGTGTTTTTCAATATGTATGTCCTTATTTTTTCTTATAGTGATTAAAAGAAACCAAGTACGATTGTTACTTTACTTTTGTTTTTAATCTCAATGAGTTAAAGAAGATGGTTGTTGTTAAGTGCTGTGCAGTTGGTTCCGACTCATAGCGACCCTGTACACGGCTTCCAAGGCTGTAAATGTTTATGGGAGCAGAAAGCCTCATCTTCCTCCTGTGTAACAGCTGGTAGTTTTGAATGGTTGACCCTGAGGTTAGCAGCCTGATTCATACCCACGACACATTTTTAACTGGTCTTGGGGTACCTTCCATTCTAGAATTCTTAACTCTAGGAGTGGTGGTTGTTGGGATTTTGTTATTGTTAAGTGCCATCAAGTCAGTTCTGACTCATAGTGAACCCTACATAGGGTTTCCAAAGAGTGGCTGGTGAGTTTGAACTGCCAGGCTTCCGTACCTTCACTACTTCATTGTTAAGACCCCTAGAAAAGGAAATCCTATTATCTTCCTAAGAGTGATTCTTTTTTAAATAGTTTAAAAGCTTTCAGAAAATTCTTAAAGTTAGCTAACCTAAATCATTTCATTTTGGTTAAAAATGATTTTACACTTCATCCTGGATAGGGCAGGGGGAAGCAAAAATTACGATGATATCAAGTGGTATATTCCGTATTCTTTTCTTTCTTGGGTTGTTTAGAACTGTTTGTAATGTTCTGATATTGAAAGGGTATAGTAATGGTAGGATTGCATTTTCATTTTGTGGCTTATGCATCTTCGTATTATGCTGCACTTCTCTCACTTAAACACACTATGATGTTACATTAAGGACAGCTTCGCCGTCAGTATAGTTTTTAGATATACTTTGGTCATACGCCACTTGCATAAAAGCTAATCCTTGCCACATTGGTATTTGTGCATTTTATTTCCCACACTTAATGTGCCACTCTGCAATTACGCTTGCTTGTAAAATGTATTTCCTGCCTACTTTTCAAATTTTATTTTTTCATAATTTTGTCACTTGAAATCTAAATGATTATGATGACCTTCCATCATTCTGGTCATTTGTGAAAATGTTACACCACCTAGTCTTCTTTGGGTTTGTATAATAGCATAACAATTCTGGATAAAGTACGGATGCATTTAAAATACAATGTTCATGTTCTAGGGTATTGGTATGGTATTGAGCTTGAAAAACCCCACGGCAAGAATGATGGTTCAGTTGGAGGTGTGCAGTATTTTAGTTGTTCTCCAAGATATGGAATATTTGCTCCCCCATCCAGGGTGCAAAGGTAAGAAACATGGAATGTGGGTGACTCACAGGTCAAGGTGCCTTTTGTAGTTTGTGGGGGCTTATGCTCACACATGCAATGACTATAGCTCCAGTTTTCTTTCAAGGGGTTAACCAACCACCTTCAGAGAGAAGGCTCCACGGAAAGCTAAATTTGCTTTGCTGAGGATTTGCAATTTTAAAAAACTCCTTTATTCCTCATTTGCAAACCCTATGAGTATGTGTAGGCTATTAGAAGTGGCGTTTGCAGCTAAGAACAGTGAGAGCAGCAAGCTTAATCTGTCATGCAAACAAAAGTAAAAATGCTCTCTGATTGCTTCAGTCACATCCTAACTACATTAAATCTCCTGCCAGCAGGCACCCCATTCATTTTCCTACAAACCTAATGGAACCAAAATGGCTCTTTCCTCTCATTTCTTTAGTTTTCAAAAATAGATAGGCAGTAGATCTTTGGGGGAAGTGAAGCTGCAAGGATTTATATATAATATACCTCCTTAGTGTTTCTCTTAAGATAGTATACTTTTATACCAGCTCACTCTAGTTTTAAAAAATAAGTTGAACAGAAACAAGTCTCTGTGAGATTCTAGGTCCCATAATGTGAAATGATTTCCCTTATTTGCTGAAAGAAGTTTACTTGGTATGCTTTTTTCATGACTAGGAAATGGGATAAGAATCATTTGAAATAATATTATATGGAGTCCTGGAGTGACACTATTGAGTAAGCACTGGATCTCAAGGTCGGTTTGAACCACCAGGTCGGTGGTTCAAACTCACCAGCTGCTCCTTGGAAACCCTATACAGGGTTGCCATGAGTTGGAACTGACTCAATGGCAGTTAATAACAATAATCACATTCTATGAAGGAGCCTCTTGTAGTTCACTTCCAATAAAAATTGAGTGAAAATAGACACTCAACTAGGAACTAATGTTCATATGCATTATTTCAGATTTTCTTGTTGCCTTTTATCTTTAAAATTTCTATAATTTAGTTTACCTGGGAGATATATATATGTGTATATATACATATATATATTCCTTCTGGCAAATTTAACAACTTTTCTATCCATGTTCTTCCTCAGCTTTTCTTATTATATATTTACATGTAAGTTTTGTATTCATTAATTCTATGATGTATTTGATGTGATTATTTCTGGTAATACAGCGTTTAACATATGCTATGTTGTTCATAGCTTATAATTCACTTAAATGTTTCATTCAATCTTAATAAATATTGAGTCAAGCATGATGGCAAATAGCAACAACTATTACAAGCATTTGTTGAGCTTTTAATAAGAAGAAGATATACTGCACAATGTGGGGTAGGTATTATAGTCAGCCTGTACAGTCACGTCATACTAGCAGACTCATTTTGCAGATGAAGAAACAAGTGCCAAGAGACAAGTAGCCTGGCTAAAGGACTCACTCAGCGCAAGTTAGTTACTTTAATTGTAATTAAAAAAAAATGTTTTAGTGACTTTATAGGGCAGATCATCAATTTTACATTCAACAAATCATACACCTTGTTTCATTGCAATGATTACAATCCCCTCCATGTACCATCAGTTAACAGTATTGCTCTCTATCCACTTTAGCTCTTTTAAAGCAAAAACAACAACAACAAAAAAACACTCAGGCATATATAATAATTTACAGCACCAAAGGGCACATTCTGCAAGTCTGCCTCCTGGTCTCCAGCTCTCAGTCCCTCCCTTCCCATGAATCTAGAGTCCTCAGCTGTTCCCTCTCTCCATGTCCCCATCTCTGCCTCCATCTCTGGTGTCGCTGCTTCTCTGGATAAGGTCCCGCATTCTTATTCTGCCTGTGCTCTTCTTCTCCCTTGATGGTCTTTGGGTCCTCTGTTTCTGGACTGTTAAAATGAACTAATCCCCTGCTTTTGTTACAAAACTTCTACCTTAACAATTGTTACAGTCACAATTAGTCATGATAACAGTTACTCAATACTGACTTACAAGAATCTTATCCCTACCTCTTTTTACCAGACCCATCTAGATTTAATGAAAGCTATTCAGAGAGAACTCTTCCTTTCCCTTACATACTCTTAAACTAAATTCCCTCTTGAAACCTTGTAAGCCAGTCACTTCATGTCTTTATCGCCCCTCATTGTAGGTAGCCAATGTCTAAGTTGCCTATCCCTATCTACCCTGTGTACAGAGGGGATAGCATTGATACTTGATGTGAAGACTCCTTCCCTCT